AAATGCAAAACTAAAGTTTTTAAGAGGATTTTCATTCAGAGTACAGAAATACAATTGTCACAGAATAGCTCCCTTGGAGCCAACAATCAATCTCTATATGAAATATAGTGCTTAGTATCAAAATTATAATTATAAACACTGCAGTTTAAGGGGTAAAATTTTATTTTGTCTAAACTCCTTCCTTCCCCCAATAATAATGTTTTGGAGCTCCAATGTGGTTGGATTTGAAAATCTGGGATATGTAAAAAATAATTTCACAGTGTGTTATGATTTGGAGATTTCATTAATGACCCTTATTACATGAAGGCTGTTGTAAAATAAAATAAATATATTTTTTAAAAAGTCTTCATTACTTATGTCTAATCTTAGAGAATGACAAGCTTAAAGTATAAAAAAATTTCTCACTCCCCAGCTGTAACAAGTTTTATAAATGTAGTTAAATTGACATAAGACAAAACCCAAACAAAGTCACAATTGGAGCTCCAGAACTTACCATGGGGAAGAAAAGGTCCTAAGGAACCTAAAAAGATAAAGTAGTATAATCAGTTTTGTAATTAAGACATTTTATAATAGCCAAAGATATTGCTACTCAATTACTAAAACATTAAGCACCTTTACTATTAATTATAGTATCAGTAACTTAGGCATAACTGTTCTCCTCTTTCTCAGATACAGGCAATCCGTGGGTTATAAACAAGATCTGTTCCTTTGTCTTTAAGAATTGCTACGTCAGTCAGGAAAGGTGGGTATTCAGTCTTGACAGTGAGTTCTGTTGTAAGGAGGAGCCCTAGCTGGTGCAGAGTGAAGCACTGAGCTGCTAATCAAAAGGTCAGCAAGTTCAAGCCACCGGAGACCCCACAAGGGAGAAAGGAGCAAGTATGCTTTCTGTAAAGATTTACAACCTTAGAAACCTTATGAGACATTTCTACCCTATCTTATAGGGTCATTATGAGTCGGAACTGACTAAACAACAGGGGTTGTTTTGGCTTTGGGGTTTAGTGCAAGAAAAAGCTGTCTCTTCAGGGATTTAAAAGGTGCAGGTGCAAGTGAAGGTAGTGTGATGAAGAGTTTGTTGGGAGTGGTGTACTGGAAGAAGCCTGCATTGTAGTGGTTAAGCGTAGGGCTACTCACCCCATGATCAGGAGTTCCACATCACCAGCCCCTCCAAGGCTTTCTACTCCAGCACAGAGTTCTAATCAGAAACCCACAGAGGAAGCTCTACCTGTCCTACAGGGTTACTGTGAGTCACACGGAATCAATGGCAGTGAGTTTGGTTTTTGAGTTGAGGGGGGGTTTGAAACAGCACTGCCCCAGGGACTCAAAGATGGCAGCTCACCACATGACTTTGAATGTGCGCAGCTTTCCACAGTCCAATTAATACTATAATCTCACATATCAGGCCCTCAAAAGGGCTCACTACACTTATTCAGAGTCTCATTCCAGATTCCATTTTTTTCTGTTCCCATTACCTTGACAATCATTCCATCTGTATACATTCCGGTCTATTCCTATCTTCGTTGGTCAAGACAGAACTGGGTTGAAGGCCTGCATTAAAGGGCCAGCAGGAATTGTTCGTTAAGTCAGACATTCATAACCCAAGGGACTGTCTGTAATGGCCTAATCAGTATTATAACTGTTATCATTTCACGAGTGATAACAAAATGTTCATTAAATTTTTAACAATTTGTGATACCATATTTTAAATATAAGCAGAAAATGTGGCTTCATTTTTAACAGTTATTAGAATGCAACAAATACGTTTTTCTCACGGCTCATACTACTGTAAATGAATATGGGTACTCATTTGTACACTTTTCAATTTAAAATTCTGCTGTTTCACTATGTTCAAGTGACAGTTTCATAATTACTTCAGCCATATCATTATTCATGAGAAAATATAATTTTAGAAATACTAACTACTTTTAACAATAGTGAATTAGAAAGATATGAGTGGGGATTTAGATTATAAACTAGACTTTTATACATGACCAAGTCTGTCTAACTTCATAGGAAGTGTATAACATTTTGCTTTATACAAATGAGTGTGAAATTAAGAGAACAAATTTCATACTGTGGCTATAAAATAGACACTCAAAAAAATATCTTTGCCCCAATTCTTACGTTTTGAGGTTGAGGGCAACAAACCTCTACTTCTTTACAATGTTAGAGAATTATGACTTTTGGGGGGAACTTTTCTTTTTAAAAAGGAGAACATTCATTTTATTCCCCCATCTCTCTATTTAGTTAATCTAATTGGTAAGAGTTTAATTTTAATAGGTCAAGGGATCTAAAGCTACCTGTAAGCATTTAACACCTTAAATGTAAATATATAAATTAAATTTCACTTCTACGGTTAACCTATAAGTTTAAGGAAATGAAAAAGCAAATGCTAATACTAAAAAACTTGTCTTCAAGTTACATTATTACATTTTTATTACATAACGACTACCTAAGAGAAAGTAGAAGAGAAAGGCCTTTACGTACTAAGTTGTAGAGCTTTCTCCAAGCCTTCATAATAATACCAGTTTTCTGCATTCCGGTCGATCAAGTTTTTGAACACTTCACTGGCTTCTTTCAATCGTCCTAATTTCAACAGCATTTCCCCTAAAATGAAATTTACAGTCACATGCGTTTTACTACACATTAAATATGTTTCTGTTCTCATAGACTGTGTGAAGTACTAGAGTAGTAGAACTCTATGACAGAGAGAACGCTGTCTCCCTTTGGGGAAAGTGGCAATGTATGTAATGAAGCAGAATGTAACATACAGTTTGCCTTCAGATATGAACCTGCCCTAACACATTCCACCAAATGGTAGAGTTATCAGACGAACATACATCTGCACTCAAGTTACATGTAACTAATTAGTTAAGCAAAATCTTTGCATTACATACATTTTTAAGTACCCTTTAAGCTACCATATATACTCATGTATAAGCTGAGTTTTGCGGCACTTTTTTTCTTTTTAAATAATTTTATTTGGGGCTCGTACAATTCTTATCACAATCCATATATACTCCATTGTGTCAAGCACATTTATATTCGTTGCCATCATCATTCTCAAAACATTTGCTTTCTGCTTGAGCCCTTGGTATCAGCTCATTTTTCCCCTCCCTGCCCGCTACCCCCTCCCGCATGAACCCTTGATAATTTACAAATTATTATTTTGTCCTGTCTACCCACTCCCTTCACCCATTTTTCTGTTGTCCATTCTCCAGGGAGGAGGTTATATGTACATCCTTGTAATCAGTTCCCCCTTTCTACCCCACCCTCCCGGTATCGCCATTCTCAGCACTGGTCCTGAAGGGATCATCTGTCCTGGATTCCCTGTTTCCAGTTCCTATCTGTACCA